ACAGAGTACAACTGCATTGAACATTCTCCAACACCGGGGCAAGAATCTCTTTCATCCCTTTGCCCTAGGCCAAACGCCTAAAACTACTTCCAAGAGCAACCCCCTCCAGCAAGTGGTCCAATGGCCTGAAGAGGATCTCAAAATGGCTTTTTCACATCTACAATACCTGGGCAGGAGAGGGGGGGGGGTCAAGGAATCCTCCCCCATTGGTTCCAAGGAATCACGAGCGCCCCTCATCATGACATGGTGAAAACCTTGAGGGAGTCAAATTTCAAGTCACTTTGGGACATACAGTAAAAAACAATAACTAGCATAAGCAGGTCAGAGCCCACGTGCCCTCTTTATAGGGAAGTTCAGTTCTCATGGGGCATTCTTTTACGGTCTCAAACACAGTAGTTGATTTTTTTTCCCTAGAGAGGACAGAAGTTAACTTCTGAATGTTGTTAGTAAGCTTAAGCCTCTCCAATCCCACAGCCTTACCCAGACAGTTTTCCTGAAATACAAATTCAGTGTTTATAACCAGGTACCCACCCAATTACTGCTGGGTGAACCGTCAAAGATAATTGCCCACTAATCCCTGTCTAGAACTAGAACCCTCTTTCTTCAATATGGCATAACATCTTTTTATACAATCATGCCAAGGTAAACAACCCCAAGCCCGCCTCCGTGGCAAAAACAATGTTTTTTTAATTAAATTTGTTACTAAGACTAAAAATTTGTATCAATATATCAATACAAAATGAACTAAGCTGCTTTATAATTGTTACATTATATATACTGATTTGGTTGTATTTATAATTCTATGTCTTGGGAACATGCATACCTCTTGTACTATCATTTAATTGGGTCATTTTGATTGGAAAAATTAACTAAAATTTTATTACTGGTTATTTTTGTGTGAATGGCACAGCAGGCATTTTGTTCCTGCGATAAAATTTTAATTACAGTATTTCGTTTTGACTGCATTTAGACCCTCGGAGGACACTTGATAAAATGCAATACGTTGCAGTGAAAGTGATGATAAAGTCTATGAGAAAAGGAAATAAGTAGAGATTTATTTGGCTAAATTTCAAAAAGACCTTAGTAAGTCAAGCCTCAGCAGCTAGCATTCAAAATTGTTTTTGCTAAGTACAGTAAGGTTAGTTTACTTAAAGTTTTTGGTTGATGAAGCTGCTAAAGAGTATCAACTAAAAAATGTAAAGTGAAATATTACAGTATTCAAGTCCTTATTTAAGTGTATATTACACCACGTAACTGTGCTGTAATGTTCCATACTATTTCGATGTGAGGATAAAATTGTTCAAAACCAAGTGAATGCAATTTTCTTGCCAAGTCTTGCTTATTTTAATGAAGATTGTGTTATAACATTGCAAATGTTATTGATCTACAGTATGTGAAAATTATGAGTTTTACTGTTTGTGGTCAAAAGAAAAAATACCATTTTAGTGCAAAGGGGTTATGATAAATTCTTTGACCTACCTAGAGGACCGATATGAACCGTTAACATCTAAACTATCATTGTAAGAAGCAAAATTAATCAGTTGATCAATACTTACCATGAGGTGGTAGTTCTGTAGTTTGACAGACTAGTAGCATCCTACACTTCATCTTCCCAAACATGGGCCAGTAATGCTCTGAAGAACTTCAGCTAACATAGTCAGGGCTAATAGCATCTTTCGAACATTTAACTACAACAGTTTACGTTGTACCAACTCCCTACTAATTACCTAAAAACAACTTATGAACTCATCACTGTCAAAAAACACATTTTCTTCCAAAAAATCTTTAAAGTAGATTACTTCACCTTACTCCAAAATTAAACACAATTATAAATGGCATTCTTTACAACAATTCTGTATATTTGGAAGTTTTTGTGCCTTCTTTTCCCTTACATTAATTAGTAAAGCATCAAAACTTCATTTGACAATTGTGGAATACAGCCTTCTTGTTATACAGATTACACCTTGATACATGTTACGTAAAAGTGTTCGTCGTGTTATATCGTTGCATCGAGATGGGAGTTGTAATATTAAAGAGTAATGTTCCCACTTGAAATGTTGCAGGGAGAACAAGGGTAACGACCATGAAGGTTGTTTAACCAGTGCAGCACAGCTCGTCCGGTGATGGGAATTCTGATGGCCAATCAGAGCCGCTGGACGAGGCAATGAGCACCTGCAGAAATGAGAGCAAAGCAGTACTCTACAAACTCCCATCCAGTCGACATGACGTTGTTTGTGTGGCCAGCCTTACCCTACTTTGTGACAGTGTGCTCCACTCGCTCCATCAATCCGGACATTAGGATCTAGCTGAAGATCAACACCGGATGTAGTCTCAGAAATTTACCGACTCCATGACATAGCGAGAATATTTAGTAAGGAAATGTACAGGAAAATGAGTTGGATACAAAAAGAGAGTGAGAAGTGGTAAAGACGATACTGTAGCAACTTTAGAAGAGAGAGTGTGATGTGTAGTGTAAGGAGTAAGTAACGCGGCAAAGTAAGGTGTGTCGCACTTGACGATGGGGTCAGGCTGAGGACAACGACACCTGACTAAGCCAGAGGAAACAGCATTAGGATACTTTCAAGTAAATACAAGCTAAAGCAAAACTAGAGAACCAAACTTGTTTAAATATGTTGGGTTTACTGAAACAACAGTATGATCCCAACATATATGACTAAAAGAGAGGTGGTTACGTAACATCACATATCTTATTTTATTCTTAGCCGAGGTTAAATACTCAATAGCAAGGTGAGCTAGGGTATCGTCAAACAAAAACAATGCCTAAATTTCAAAAGCCCTTTGAAAACATTGCTTTCCTTTTCAAAAAGCTTATAAAAAGATAATTGTTTTCAAAGATTGAAAACATGTCATTTTAACTTTCTCTGAACTGGATCAAGGCTATTATCATTCAAGGTGTCACCAATGATCTCCGTCTGGTTAATGTTGTACTAACCTTTCAATCTTAAAAGTTAGCCGTCACAAGCCTCAAAGTCAGTCAACCCTAAACTGGTTGCAAACCTATCTGCCACATTCGAAGCTCACCACCACTTGCTCACACACAAGACTTGTGGGGCATTTTGAAAATTATTAATAGCCTCATCTAGGTACATTTAGAAGCCATCGATACCTGCCTAGTATTATTACTGTTATTCACACCTAAACTTGCAGGCAGCCATAAATTTCATGTACTGTAATGCTCTTCTACTATATTAGAAACAATACTTCTCCCAATACTCTCAGGGCAACACAGCCTTCATCGCAGTTAAATAACTAGGCTTGCCATTGATTGTTAAATAGCCCACTTTCTCTTATCAACTTGAGGTTAACTGTTGCTTCTGCTAGGGATATTGTTCACTAGAAATTTGCAAAGTTTTTATTATAACATCCTCCATTCAGTGGAACCTTGTATCATCATGCATGAGGGTTAAAGTACATGGCCAACTCCCGTGGTTGGGAAGAGTCCACTTGGACCACGGAAAGTATTCCAACAAGGGAGGAGGAAAAAAATTATTTAGACAGTATATATAAGGACTCAAATATAAATTCTGAACAAATTACACATTTTGTTATAAATGCATTATTTTTATTGTATTTACAACAAAGACCAGCACATTGACAAGTAACTTGATCACTAAACTAAGTAATACAGATTCTGTCCAGGTTGTGCAACAACATAACTTGGAGATTTGGGGAAGCAAAATCCAAATTGGTGATCATTCAATATCAATGTTTGGGAGAGAAAACGTAGCCAGGAGGACAATACAGTGCAATACAAGAGGCAGATGCAGGAGGGAAAAAAATAACAGGAGAGGGGAAGGGGGGAAGGAATACTAAAGTGGACATAACACTAGCCTCAGCATCACACAAAATTGCCAAAACTTATGGATGGAATTTAGAAACATAAGCATGTTATCTTTCAAAATATTGTGTATGCCAGGCTACTGCTATAATAGTGTATGCAGCACCAACAGAATCCCAATCGGATTTATGTATGCGTGCTGTATGAAACATCCTTACTTGGAAAAGAACCATGAACAAGTCCACAAGAGCCTTGATGAGGGTTCAAACCTATGCATGGGATGTTCCCAGATGGGCCTTAGTCAACTGTACCACCACATGGTAAAAGAATTGCAACCTGGAGTGCTACTGTCCTCGTGAGGATCCCAAAGCTTCTATGATGCCTAACCGGGATTTTACACAATTTCCCCTTGCATTCGGGCTCTGTCAACCAGATGTTCTACCTCTACGCCCCTTAGGCTTCGGAGAAACTTCAGGATCCTCGTGATGGCAGCAGCACTACAGGTTGCAATTCTTTTACCATGTGGTGGTACAGTTGACTAAGGCCCATCTGGGAACATCCCGTGCATAGGTTCTAACCCTCAAGGCCCTTGTGGATTTGTTCATTTGATATATCACGCTATTGTGATTTCTGTGTGTAGTGAACAGAACCATTATCCAATTTTCTTTCATCTTGAGGCAGAGAGGTACTTGTTTAAAATTCATGTTAAATTATAAGCAGAGGATGGGGGAGGGAAAATCACATTAACACATCTTTCCCTAATACTTTCAAGCACTTTAAAACTACAGTATATAGTGTACAATACAATGTCAAAAATTTCTTGTACACTGAACCTATCAATAATAATTCTCAATTTAAAATAAATTTGTCTAAATCTAATCATACTGAAAACTATGCTGCCATGATCAATACTTGTTTGGTAAGCCATAGGTTAAAACAAGTTTGACTAGATGTATGGACAAAATGGGGTTTAGCCTTAGGGCAAATGCTGGAACCTTTCGGCTAATTATCAAATACCCTAATTGGTTTAAAGTGTAATCCTGGGCACCAACTGGATCAAAATGTAATCCTGGGTGCCAAATGAATACAGGCAGCACTGTTGCATATACAGCTTTTAGGAGAGACTAAAGCCACACAACCTTAAAGATTAGACCTCTAACAACTATTTACAACTTTTTAGAAATGAAAAGGAAAAAAATTGTGTACTGATAAATTTATTTCCCATTTTCTGAATGTACAAAAGTATAGGAAGGCTCTTAAGATTTAATTTCATAAATAAATTTAGAATGTAAATTTGCTCATGATAAGTTCACTTTAAAAACAATAGAAAATATTCAACACTACATAACTACATAATGTCCATTTATCTAATAATAATTATATTCTTAACCACTGTCTGACTCATTTTCAAGAAATTTCCTGATAGCACAGAAAATACACACAAACATTATGAATAAAATGCATCCATTCCTGGTTTAAGACTAAATACAACAATAAATTCAAGTCAACCAAAATAGTGAACTGTGTGGAAATCTTTCTATATACACCATGTCCTTGCAATAACAAAAACCTAATGGAGATACTATGTACTTGCGGTAACAAAAACTAATGTAGATACTATGTACTTTTAACAAAAACTATTGGACAATCTTATCACTTAATCGGCTAGCAGCTCCTCTTCATCCAGATTCAGATCCTGAAAATAAAGACCACCACTGTATATTCCTGACATTAAATGAACAAGATAATGTCAATTGTTTTCTTAAGGAACTTGTTCTACACATCACAAACAAAATTATAGCACCATTCACCAATTAATGTTCCATAAAGGGAGTTAATTACTTAATGGTGCTCCCCCTTATACCACATTAATAACTGTTACAATAAAAAGCGTGGAACAGATATAATATTAATGCCCACTTGTCTCCATCTTAATCCCAAAGTAAACATTCAACACTAAATGACAAACTGACCCAGAGGAATAATATATTTAGTACAGTATATAGTAAAAATATTGGGTAGATGAAACTAGAAATATAAACAGTACAAAGGTGAAATATTGAGTAATTAGGAAATAAAAAAAATCAGATTGGGGTATGTGCAATATTGTTGCAACCACACAGTGGTGCAAACATTACCACATTTCCTGCAGTGAAGGGGAAGAGATCAATATAGACATTCTTGTTTTAGACCAATTTCATAAATAAATGTGAAACTAAGATATTCTCCCAAAAGAAGCAATGTTTTAAGAACAAAAGAATGAATTAAGTGTATGTAATTAGAGTGAATAAACATGTACAAGCAACTTCAATACAAATTATTTAGACCCATGAACAGTCAAAAGATCTTGACACCCATCAGTCCAAATTAATTTTAAGGAATACTGTAAATAAAATAAAAAATGGGACCAAGCCTGGAAGATCAAGAGACATCAATCAGAATGTTAATAAGAGAGAAACATAACCCACTAGACTAATTGTATTAAAGGTATCAGAGCTTGAGTAGTAAATAACTGAAATGGTAAAGGTCTTACATTAGGGTCAATGTTGTCCTCAATGCGTACTTTTTCAAGATCCAGTTCCAATTCACGTTCCAGCTGTGCTTGGTCTATTGTTGGTCTAGCACTTGCACCTGTTAAAATATACGCATGGGCAATCTTAGGAAAGAAAAGTTGCATATAAAACAAGCACAGCATGAAATACATAATCTGAGTAAAAATATTCCTGTATATGAGCCTACATATGGGTACAATTGTGTGCTTACCATTCATACAAGGTGATTTTACCCAGAGAAATTGGCATGACGGAGTAAAAAGCACAAAGCCCATGTGTTGTAGATCATAAGAAAATACAGTCAAGAAATTTGGTGACAGAGGTAGCAGAAATATAGGAACAGGGTTAATTTATACTAAAGAAACTAAACAAAATACACCATCAAATGAAAACTAGACTAGACCACAACATTACAAAATATTCAAAGATCCAAATAATCCTATTCAATGTGCTGGGGAAAGAATGCAAGTACCCAGGTGGAAACTAAAAAAGGGGCAAAGGAGGAACTAAAGAAGCCCCATCAGTGAATGACTAAGTAAATAGAATGAGTAAGAGAAGAAAATATTAAAGTTTAATTTAATCTAGCATTTTAAAACAAGGTATGAAAAAAGGCATCAAACAACCAATAACTAAGAGGCCCCAAAACATGGAACTCATTACCTGCCAACAAATAAATAATCAGTAAGGGTAGTAAACAACTGGAATGATCAAGAATGAGGCATTTCAAAAGCTAGATCTCCCCTAGTAGACAAGAGGTAGGAAAGGATGTGCGCAATATCAACCCATCTCCAACAATTCACAAACCTAATCATAATATTTCTTGATATACTGCAGATAATGTAACCAATGATATGCCCTGTACAAACACCATACATGACAAAAAATCTGAAATTAACAAAGCACCCTGGTGCTATAGATCTTGCACAAATCTCCCTCCCTTGCTTGCTTTCACAGCAGCCCAACAGAAACACTAATGATCAAAATTATATAAAAAAAATAATTTTGATTATTTAAAAAAATTTAGTTATATTTTCTTTATCAATGCATTACATTTCATTATAAATAACTGACAAGAAAATTACTAAAATGATACTTGTGCCACAAAAATGCTGAATAGTATGACCTTGCAAGTCAAATCACTAGAACTGGAACCCTTGGAGAGTAAGAAAGAATTACTTGTAAAATAACTAAATATCGAGTAAAATTATGTGAAATTAACTGGTGCTGACCATAAAGTTTTCGTAACTGGATGTACAGTATTATAATTAAGAACTTTTCTGTGATTGCACTGTATTACATTTATGAACCATCATCCAACTATATACAAATATTGACGTATTTCTTCACAAGTTGAAAAATTTTCAAAACCAGGAGACAAGGCAAATTTGACTGAGAAGAATAAACAGGAGTTGGGAAGAAATGTGGCTGGCAGAGAAGCTGGGTACCAGGACTAGTACTTTAAACAAAAACAAAATAATTCCATACTTGACTTTAATACAGAAAGTTGAAGATGGAGGTAGTGAAATGTTCAAGATGTCTCTTTTTTGATACATTAGAAGAAACATTAGTGATTTATGTAAATACACTATCTGGGAGTGATACTGTAGTGAATACATCCAGGAAGCAGCTGAAAACTGGGTTCATAGATTCAAGCAAATTACTATATTGAAGTCCACTTAAGCAAGGTTACTCTGTACATCTGACTACAATTTGCAGTTTAATGGTAAAAAACATTTTCATGAGATAGATATAATGAAAATGCCTATCAGAACCTATATTCTATTTTGATAATTTGTTCCCAAAGTATTTTAACTTCTAAAATTTGGTTACTACAATACAGTATTGTGTATAGCACTAATAAACTATAAGAATATTACTTCCCTCAATTTGAAATTATAAATTCTGCACAATATATATCTACAGTTCTATGCTAATTGTTTCTATTATACAAGTTATTGTTCATTACATAAGAATACCAGGAGCTTTAATATTTAACTGCATTTACAAAATTAAAAGTGAACAGCTAGGAGTTTACGTTCTTAAAAAATAAGCACAATTTTAATATAAATCAGTTGCCAAAATATATTTATACAGGTATATTAAGCATATGTTTTTGAATGTTGAATACCTTTAAAAATAATACAATTATAGTTGTTAATGAGTTAAGCAATCAAACACGTGCACCACCACCACTCCAAGTAAAATATATTCACACTGCAAGCCCAACCAAACAAGACAAAACACTTTCCCAAGTAAGAGATGATTATACATACTACTTGGGAAAACTGTGCATATTACACAAGGGAATTTCAAATGAAGATAAAACAATAATATTAATCAATTGTGTTTGGGGGACAGGCAGCCAGTGTGTATTTACACACATTAGGCTTATATCATGCTTATAAGATATAGGGATGCATCTTGGGGGGAAGTGCATCCCACAACAAGCTGACTAACTCCTGGGTACCTACTTGAACAGGGCATTATGTGATAGGAAATGTGCCCAGGATCAAGTTTTGATACTCGTGTCTCACCCGAGTATCAAAATGATTAATGTTCTTTTTACAACTTTAAATAGACAGCTTATAGCGTTCTTTCTGTACTGAATAAAACCTTAAAAACAATACTGAAGGGAAAAAATTGCCATAAAATGCTTTAAATCAGATTAAATTCATCAATCTAATGATGACCGATTCCTTCATATCTAATGCCCACTTTATATGAACATGAATTTTAGTGTCAGACTAAACACACATCCTTAAATGTAAAGCCCCCAAATTCTGAAACAATTAACAAAACTTTCCAAGTTGTTTGTAAGCAATAACCATTCCTCAAGGTTAGCTACTTTTACTGCTTGTTAGCTGACTGCAAGTATTCTAATCAATGCCTCTAATAACATTAAAGTATGAAGGGTAAATAAGCATTAATAGCATTAATTGGAAATTATAACAATTTAGCCTAAAGAGTATTTAGTTATTACTTTTATTAATTTGTTATAAAAATATCCAGATCTAACAATCCATATGAAAGAGCAATAGACTTGAATGTATTAAATATGCAGCCTATGATCTCACTGGCATAGGTAAAACCTTCAAATATGCAAAATAAAAGAATAATTAGTTTCTGAAATGCTATGCAAATTCTGACAAGCATTTTAAATCCTAAAAAATCTGGTTTGTGCTGTCAAACAAAGAACTGTGGAAACAAATCACACAAATTAAAAGGCAATACTGCAAACTTTCCTGCAGATTACAAGTAAGTATGTATCACTATCAAGTAAAAGCGATGCATCTTCTTTTCCGATATAGTTTCATATTGTCCTATTCTGTAAGGGTTCTCAAAAACCATGCCATGGCGCACAATGCACTGAGGAATTTCAAGCAATTACCTAAATTCTGCATCTCGCTCTGAATTATATAGTTCTCTCTCTCTCTATCTACTGAAGTTACGCTTAACTCAAGTTGCTGCCATGGAGAATCTTGCTCAGTTCTCACCAAGGTGCCTGCTCTAGATTCAGCCATGCCTAAGATCAATCCAGGGGAGGATAAAGCTTGTACCTCCTTAAAGGCGAAGTCAATCAATGGGGGGCTTCCCTCATAGGATTTTGGGGTCCAGTTTTCAACTTGTTGCTGAAGAGTAACATCTTCAAAGCGACTGTCAAACACAGCTTGCCGAACTATGATAAAAATTTTGTTTAAGCTAAATAATTGGGATGTCTTCAATAAAGTTTGCTAACATGCTAACAGGCTTCATAAAAACTAAGACAAAAGAGCAAAGAATAGAAATTAAAATTAAAATGCAATTTAATTGTAGTTAAGATCGAATACTAAAGGCTTTACTCCAAAGCACCAAATTCAGCACTTACTAATTCTGATAACTGTATCAAGTTTATCTACTACAGTTCAGGCTGTGAATTTTATTGCTTTTAGATAAGATGTAATGTATTAAAGAATTATCCAAATCTGTCAATTTTCCCAGAGTAAGAGTATTGATAGTTCCATGAAATGTGGGTCAGCCATAATTGAGTTTAGAGAGCACAAGAAAGGAGTGCAAATAGAGAAGGGTGTGTATCCTCCAAATAGAGGGAGTTTTAAAATATTCCTGGAAAATATCATAAAGGCAAATGGGGGGGGGGGGAAGGGACATTCGACAAGCCACCAGCTTTCTGTCTTCATCAAGGCCCCGAGGCCACTAGGTTTAGTGGCCCTCAGGTAAATCAGGTATTGGCCCTCAGGAAGTACAGGACAAGACTAAAGCATGGACCTTAGAGCATCCAATTCAGATGGAGATGTGATGACCAAGATAAACAAGTGTCAAAGATCAACCCCAAACATTTAGCAGTACAGTACGAATGTTTATACCGAAAGAGATTACCACAGGGTGACAATGGGGACAAAGAATGACATGCAGAGGGAGCACATGTCTTTGTTGTAGAGAACTTAAGCTATGATTGGTGGCCCAGGACAACACATCCATCTCAATTTGGAGATGGTGTTGAAAGAAAGGGGAATTGTAACCCCAACAGCAGAGCAAGATCGGCAACATAAAGGGGTTGAGAAATTGCCAAAGAGAAGGGAGAAAGGAAGATCATTTCCACAAGGAAATAAGTAGTGCTCAGAACACTACATTCAGGAACACCCTCATTGTTGAGGAGAGTCAATGTATTACCAAGTCTCATTTAAATAAATAACAAGAGGAATCTCTGGAATAATAGTAGAGTGCCATGAAGGCAAATGAATGTAGCTGGGATAAAATACTTTATCTCCAGGTGATGTCATAAGCCTTTTCAAGGTGTAAAAAAAAAAAAAAAAAAAAATGTAAACCAAGATATCAGTCATGCTGCAATATTTGCGGAAACCAAACAGAGGAAGAGGGAGCAACGATATTCCAGAAATCACACAACACACACATTAAACAAACATTTAAAAGGCTTGGAGAGAAATCGTCAGGTCAATGGAGCAAAAATCCTTAGGTTAAATCACTCGAGTACTGGATTTCCAAATGGGAAGAAAAACCACCTTAAGTCAGTCCTTAGCAAGTATGTCACCTTCCACAAATGAATTAGATATATTAAGCAAATACTGAAAGGCGCACCGTGGGAGATGAAGCATTTAATAGTGAATGCAGTCCTACAGCAGCAGGCTCTGACAGTTGACGGATAGGGCATACTGAATTTCTGAGATAGTTATAGGGTGAGCTGTAGGAGAGTGCAAAAGTCCAAGGAGAGCTTGCAAGCAAGGAGATGAGGAGGAGGAAGATGAAGAGTTAGCCAGAGTTACTGGCTAAAATGTGCAAACCCAGTTTGCTCAGACTATATTGGATCTGCTACAGTGGAACCATGGAGATGGACAGCCAATATGTCCGGAATAAATTTACCCATAATCTTGCAGATTTTCTTTCAGGTTTATGGGGCATCAATAGTAATGGAGACAATTTTCATGTCTTATGTTCAGGTGTATGTATGTTTTGGCCCAATGGGTCAATGTACTTTCTCTTCATTAACAAAATACAATAAGAGAACAAGTTGTCTATCAGTGTCTTTTATAGGCCACACTTATAGCGTACAGCCCGAGCACAAACCAAATTCTAACGGAATGCACTTCCACGTGCCACAGGAGGAATAGCAAGGAACAGAGAGAGCAGTGTTAAATAAGGTATTGTGAAAAAGGAGGAGGACTCAAAAGCAGAGGTGGATCAGAGTAGGAAGAGTAGCATGGGGTGTGAAAAAGACTCCAATTTGCCCCATCAAACTGCCACCGGGAAAGAGAGAAAGGAGGACAGAAAGAAAAGATTATGAGGAACTCACATCAGGTCAATATGTGAACTCCTTCACCACAACAAAGTTTAACTCTTGAGGGGGATCCAGTATCCAAGTTAATTTGCTTGTCAAAATGATGTAAGACAGCTCTCTTGGCAACTATAGTTGCCATCCTTAGGAATTTCCAACACTCATCATTCATATCTGCACTGTACAAATAAATGTCCTGTGCAAAATGCCACTGCTGACTCCCATGACTGAAAGCAAGCTATAAAAATGCAAACAACTCAGGAGATGGCCACCTCCTTAAAAGGATAATTCCCAAGAAAAACAAGGCACTGAAAACAGATAGGTAGTAAATCACAATGAGAATTTGTACAATGAATGTTGAGGCTAAATTAGAGATGATACCATCACATCCAAGCTTTAACTGGTAAAATTTTATGGAATATTTAATACAAACCTCTAAAAAGTGCTACTTTTACTAGTCTAATAGCAATCAAACTCAAAGAGCCATTTCTACCCAATCCCAAAATTGTTACCTAGCGTATCTTTCATTTGCTCCAAACCCCAGTCTTCCACTTCGTCTTCATCCCATCCTAATAGGTTCCTCGAATGGACTACAGAACTGGATGCTGATGCTGCAGCTGCTCCAACCTCTCTCTCTTCTTCCAATACTAGGAACCTCTCTTTGTTTTCTGCTACTGGGACATCATTATCATTTTCCGAAACAAAGATATCATCGTCAGGTAATGGCATGTTGCTGTCTTCTGCCACCAAGATATCAGAATTATCCTTGTATCCTGTTTCACTCTCTTCTAGTTTCAATACAGTCTCATCATCCTCAACATTAAAAGTATGAGTATTATCCTCACGTAAAGGACTTCCATCATTCATTTTATCTATTTTTCTGTTTGTCTTTGAAATATACTGATCTTCACCATCATGCTCTTGGCCAATTCTTGCTAGGATTTCTTCGTTAACTAAAAGGCACACATAATGAAAATAATTAATATCAGGAAACACATTATAATCAACTTTCGAAACTTGGGCTGTTTGAGGTAACTGAAATGTCATACTTTGGTGACTGCATTTTTTAGTGTAATATGCAGTATCAACAAAAACAACCCAAACATGGCCCTTTGTGGTGACCCAAAGGTGCCCCATGAAAAAGGTCCTTGAAAAATTGTCTTGAGTAAAAACAGAGACTAAGCAGACAATACTGGAAGAGATTACTTAAGTAATCTTTAGCATAACCCGAGTGATTTAATATGATTTGGTCACTCTAGCTAAAGCGTATTTAAGTAACCTCATTCAGTATTATATAACTAAAGTTAGTTACAAGTTAGTCTTGTGTAACAACTTTCTAGAAAACACTTCAGTAATCTCAAAACTTATTAGTAACAAAAATAAAATGTATCAACTGTAGTGATCATATTATGGTACTGTAATCACAAAATACCCTATTCCAGCACATTTTACAAAGCTGACACATTAAATGTATTTATCCAAATCCCATTTCCCCACTTTCATGGGGGTGGGAGATGTCAATACAGTACTGTATTGCTACTACTGTACTAACATCTACTTGCATTAGGAAAATTTGCCCATTTCAAAATTTATTTAATTAATTCACTGTGTCAGGAAACAGGCAGCCAGAGTATTCATACACATTAGGCTTATATCTAGGTCCCCCCATCCTAGGTCAAATTACTGACCCCACCCAGGATGCAACACCACAACAAGCTGACTAACTCCTGAGCAGGAGCATTAGGTGATAGGGAATGTGCACAACCATTTCTATCTCGCCAGGGATTTGAACCCAGAATTCTTGATTGTAAGTCGAGAATGAACCCCGACCCTACTACCTGGACCCCTTGAAGTTCAATTATAATTTCTTAAGGCTATAGTATCTAATTATAAACTAATGTGCATGTACTTGAATCCAAAGAAAAATATTAAATTAATCATTTATAGCATAATGTGCATGTACTTGAATCCAAAGAAAAATATTAAATTAATCATTTATAGCCATTATTGACAAAACAATATCTGTACAGTTCTGTGTAACTATTAATCAATAATTTACTGCAAAATTTAGGTAGTGGGGGGAAGACCAAATTATAGCAAGATCTTATAAATAAGCATGGGGGGGGAAATTATGCATATCACATCAGCTGATGCCTGGTCCTCCAAGTCAGTCTTTGGTGAAGGATAAGAACGGATACTGTCTACATGAGTATTATACAGTGGAAAGACCTCAGAGTATTAATATTTTTGCAGAATATATACACTGAGGAAATGTTGAGAAATTTGTGTACCTAGGGCATACGTTTTGCTATGCTTAACATCTATCTTCTGCCACTGCCTGTCAGCTCGACAAAATTCCACCTCATCTGAAATATCTCTTATAATAAATCACCACCTCCACATGCCAGGCCCTAAACAATAAATAAGACTTTTAGCTACCGATATAAGCGACTCCCAAATTCGACAGTTTCTAAATCACTGTTAAACTATTTGATAATTAGTGGCCTTGCAAAATATACAATTATTGTACCAAGAATTAAAACATTGAATATACTCAATGTATATTTTGTTCTAGATAAACAGTAGTAGTATACATGTATATGCAATAATAGTAGTAATAATAACAGTACTGTACTACTGTAATAATATTAGTACTGCACTAGAAATATTAAATTTTACTATTACAAGTGTTAGTACAATACTAGTGCTAGAGTGCCAGTAGCACTAGTGCTCCAGTTAGTACTATTTGTAGTACATTAGAAGTAATGATGACAGGTGCAAAGAGGGAAGCTTGTTTGGGAGAAAATGAGGTGTATAAGATTTAGTGTAGGGTTTGACCCCCCTCAGTTCACCTGTTCAACACTATAGCAGTCCGATGACATTTTAAATTTGTCCTGTTTTACAGTAATCATACAATATGGAAATTGTATGTTACCCAATCTTCAATTTGTTGTGTAACTGCATTATATGATTCCAGTATTTATAAAACAAGTAAAAATAATGCCAAGAGGTTGATTAATTCCATCCGAATTCTCCTACACTATATAAATTCAGATCAAATTCAATATCTGCATCTCCATTCAATATGGTGGAGGTATGCAACTAAATGCTTTAGAACATCAACCGATGTAAATTAAATTATTTATGTACAAAAATACCTTGATACTTTATATAGGGGGGTACCACCTCTGGTGCAATTATAGGGACCCACAGCCTCAAAGAAGGGAACACAGAGCATTCAGAGAAAAACTTGCCATTTAACTCTGAATACTTTTTGTATCAACATCTGCATAGGCACACCAAAAAGTTATTTCTTATAACAATCCACTTATAATACAAGGCATATAAATCTGATTGTGTAAATGAAAATTTTAAATGGAAGCTAACTGTATTGTATTCTCATTTTACAAATGGTAACGCATTTTGAGGGCAAGCTTCACTTATCAGTCCCGGGGATGTCCGAAAATTATGTAACCAAATGTACGTGTAAAAATGTTCTTTGCAGCTTGGTTTTCTATATATTACAATATTCATAACTTATTACTACAGTATATGAATCTTTAAACCACCTTTCTTTTAAATACTCAACACAAAGCCAACAGGTTATTTTTTCATACATGTACTCTCTACCTTGCTTGCACTGCTTAAATCTCCTAATATATTTCCATTGCATCATGCTGGATGTTATCATGCTTTCATTGCTGCAATATTCTCTCAAGATAAACTAAGCAAAAGTTCATACTTTTCTCTCTCAATCAGTATAGTGTCATTCACATCAATTCCCAATGCAAGGGTCTTAAACGCCTGTGTAAGGAGGAGCAAAAGTAAATTCAAGGTGTAGTAGTAAAAGTTTTATCATTTAAAGTAAGCAGAAGCCAAATGATAAAACATACTCAAATCTGGACCAGGAGAGACAGATGGGGCTGGCATAGCATGTGTAGGCAGGAGCAATTCCCGAGAGACGGCAGAGTGTTGCGGTGGTGATGACATGAGAGAGAATAAAGCAGCAGTATGTGTTTCAGAAGAGGCAGAGGGATTCATTGGTTCATCTTCTGGTAGATTTTGTATACCTGTTAGGGTTGCTATATTCAGCTTACACATATTTATCCTTCATCTACTTAACGTAGTACTAAAAATAAAATTCCTACTAACAATAATAGGCTTAACAATACAAATTTAAAGTTAAAAGGTAGTTGTGGTGGGGTGTGGTGGTCTAAAGGTGGTCTAAGTAGTTGTGTGTGGTAGTTGAGCGAGATATTGGGTGTGGCGGTGGTTGGGGAAAGCTAGGATAGTTGTAGTGGTTGGGGGGGGGGGGAGAAAGCTAGGTTAGTGGTGGTGGTTGGGGGAGAAGCTAGGTTAGTGGTGGTGGTGGTGAGGTGAGGGGGGGGGAAGCTAGGTTAGTGGTGGTGACTGGGAGGGGGATAAGTTAGCAGTGGTGGTGAGGGGGGATAAGCTAGTAATGGTGGTTGGGGGAATAAGTTAGTACTGGTGGTTGGGGTGATAAGTTAATGGTAGTGGTTGGAGGGTGGGGGGGAAAAGTTAGTGGTGGTGATTGGTGGGTTAGTGGTGGTGATTGGTGGGTTAGTGGTGGTGATTGGTGGGTTAGTGGTGGTGATTGGTGGGTTAGTGGTGGTGGTTGGGGGGGGCATAAGTTAGTGGTGGTGGTTGGGGGGGGGGGGATAAGTTAGTGGTGGTGGTTGGGGGGGGATATAAGTTGGTGGTGGTGGTTGGGGGGGAATATAAGTTGGTGGTGGTGGTTGGGGGGGGATATAAGTTGGTGGTGGTGGTTGGGGGGGGGGGGGATAAGTTAGTAGTGGTGGTTGGGGGGGATCTGTGCAGCAGGCACAGAATACCCTCAGTATACGGCAGTGAGAACAAAGCTGTGTAAACTCTGCTGACGGATATGTTCACCCGTTGCATAACACCTTCCTCAGCCCCACAGCCCACAAGACATGAGCGACTCAAAGCGATTAATCACAGGACGTGAAGATCTGACCGGTAACCTTGGCACCTACCTACCTACCTTGTGGTTGTGGAGGATAAATGTGGTTGGGGAGGATAAGTTAGTGGTGGTGGTTGTTGAGGGTGGAACTACATATTCCAACTTTTATCTCACAAAGGTCATGAACAACGTAATTTTGCCATCCATGTACTGTATTTAAAATGGACTCTGAAGTTGGAAAGTGTAGCACACACAGTACTCCTCACACTATGTTCGTGTGATCCTCAGGTGACAGTTTTCCTAAACCCCTAAATCTCTTATCACAATTCTTGAATCTTTCTCACAATTTGTAGGCTGTGTGGCCTATTAACTCCTATTCCACTTTTTATAACGTGACATTTATTCACATTAAATTTCATGCACGGTGTGTGTGTGTGTGTGAGTAATTACCTAAGTGTAGTTACAGGATGAGAGCTACGCTCGTGGTGTCCTGTCTTCTGTGTGTGTGTAATTACCTAATTGTAGCTACAGGATAAGAATGACACTCATAATGTCCCATCTTCCTGGTACTCTATCATATGCTTTGAAACTACTGACAGTTTACACATGCACAACAGCTACAAAAGTGTACTTTGTGAAAATTAAAATATCCAGATGCTGATAAAACAATGCTATAGCTAATTATCTTAAAAATCAAATAATCCTTCCTAAAGATTTAATTTTTCTATTTATAAACTGTAGTCTTGGATATAATTACAAGATAGGTAACACATTCCAAACATGCATGAATACGGAAAATAGTTTTCAGTAATATACACTGTATGGCCATCATTAAATTCTGTTTAAGCAAATATCATAATGCTATGCTTTCACCATGAGGGAGAAGGCAGTTTATGGCCACCAGGGTAAAAAAAAAAAAAAAAAATTCTAACTACTAAAAGTAGTGGAATCATTTCTAAAGAACACTGCCCTTTTTACTATCTACTAGTATTGTCAAGATAACTCCCCTCCCTAGGATACATCAAGATGGCTAACAGCAACTAACAACATTAAACACTCAATCTCTCACTTGGTGCTGGTGGCTGCTGTGGAGCATCAACAAACTCTGAATCTTCATCTGGTGCTACATATACGAAAGTTCCCGCTGCTTCAGCTGCACGCATCTCTTCTAAAGGATTACGTTCATGATTACCCTAAAATAAAAAAATTTACTTAATACTTTCTCAAAACATTTTTTCTGTATCTAATCTGGTACACAGAAAACAATATTGACAGTACTGTTTTCACCCAATATACACCTTAAACTGTAACCAACTTTTACAAAAAGTTTTATTCCAATACCTTTACCATGTTACTTCAACTCTACAAGGAAATCTGACTGCATATTGTATCATGTACTGTATGCAATGGGTTCAATACTTTTCTCTATCCAAGTATAGAAAGGAGTTAGAATCTGTCAGTGTATACTTGTCCATGGTATATGCTATAAAGATAAGAAAAAGTAGTGGTGAGGGCAGTGTCTTGTGATATTGAGCATTTTACTGTCCTGTCTTGATTTGATTCGATTTCCTGTAACTTTCTGACCCATTATTTAAGGAATCTGAATTGTCATTATCCCAATTTCTTCTTGTTCCTTTGGACAATTTTATGGGTTATCACTCCATCACATTTATTAAATGCATTTGCTAAGTAAGTAAGTAATTATCAAAAGAAGGCACCAAACCGGGAAGGCTATGTAGCACCATCAAAGACGCAAAATAATCAGAGGGCGCTAAATATCACCAAGGATGCCAATACGAGAACAAAAACGCACAAGGCGAACGATATCAAAAGTATCCGAGTCACCAAGAATTCTATCGAGGGACAGGTGACCGCGAGGGGCGGTCGGAAAGCAAGACATACGCTCGTCCTGGAAGTCAGGACATTCAAGAAGGACATGCACGACCGTAAGAGGGACAATGCAACTAGGACAATAAGGAGTAGGGCGGCGCTCCATCAAGTGACCATGGGTTAAGCGAGTATGGCCAATACGCAACCTCGCCAGAGCTGTTTCCCACCGCCGGTTACGGTGGAAGGAGGACTGCCACGAGGAAACACAACATTTAAGAGTACGTAGCTTGTTACCAGTAACAGACAACCAAGAAGCCTGCCAACGGGTAAGGACTGAGGAATGGATAACTGGGTAAAAGTCGGAATACGGAATGCCCTTACGAGAGATGGGACAAGAGCGGACAGCTTCCTTGGCGGCAGCATCCGCACGCTCATTTAAAGACACACCAATATGGCTGGGAACCCAACAAAACTCAACCGACTTAAATTTACTGTGAACGAGAAACAGCCAATGCTGGATCTCGACAACCACTGGATGAACTGGATTAAAGGACCCAAGAGCCATGAGGGCACTACGAGAGTCAACAACAACTACAAAGGAAGACTGACAACGAGAAAGTAGGAGACGAAGAGCAGAGAGAATAGCATAAAGTTCCGCTGTAAAGATGCTAGTCTCCGGAGGCAAGCGACACATATAAGTGCGATCAGGAAAAACAACAGAGTAGCCAACACCGTCCGCTGACTTAGACCCATCGGTGAAGACAGAAACGGAGCGGGAGTGAGAAGAAAAGTGCTCGAGGAAAAGGCGTTTTAGAACCGTAGGAGGGGTAAAAGCTTTAGTGATACGGGTCAAGGATGTACAAAACCGCGGAAGAGGGACCCTCCACGGGGGCAAAGAAGGAACAACACGAGGAGAAACATCAGAAATACGAACGGAAAGAGAATCCTGCAGGCGAGATAACCGGACAGAAAGAGGGAGGTGGTGAAGAGGAACAGGAACCGCAGGAGGGGTAAAAGTTAAAGCACGACAGAGGCGAGAGGAAGGATGTTGCAAGGACCGCGCAAGATAGCGAAGACAGTAGCGATCACGGCGGTCCTGGAGAGACAGGAAGCCAGTGTCAACATACAAGCTAAGGACGGGAGTCGAACGAAAGGCACCAGAACTGAGGCGCAACCCAGTATGGTGCAAAGCATCAAGACGGCGAAGAGTAGAAGGAGAAGCAGACGAGTAAGCAGGGCAACCATAATCGAGCTTAGACAGGACGAGAGAGGAATGTAAAGCAAGGAGAGTGTGCCTATCTGCCCCCCAAGAAGTATGGGACAAGACCCGAAGGAGGGTAAGGGCCTTAGAGCACTCAACACGGAGGTAAGAGATATGGGGAGACCAAGACAAACGAGTGTCAAGGAATAACCCCAAAAGCTTCGCGGAATCTTTGTATTCAAGGGGATGACCATAAAGTGACAAAGAGGGACGAAGAACAACCCGTTTCCGCGTAAATGTCATGGCACAAGTCTTAGAAGTAGAGAACTTGAAGCCATGATCAGTGGCCCAAGACGACACGGCATCAATTGCAAGTTGAAGCCGGCGTTGAAGGAGAGGCGAATCATCACCCTGACAACAAAGGGTAAGATCATCGACATAGAGAGCGGAGAAGACACCAGAAGGAAGAGAGGAAAGAAGACCATTGAGGGCAACCAGAAAAAGAGTAGTGCTCAGAACACTACCCTGGGGCACACCTTCGTATTGCTGAAAAGAGGGAGAGAGAGCGGTACCAAGGCGCACCCGAAAGGAACGACGAGAGAGGAAGCTGCGGAGAAAGAGAGGGAGATGACCACGAAGGCCAAAAGAATGAAGTTGAGATAGGATATGATAACGCCAAGTGGTGTCGTAAGCCTTTTCCAGGTCAAAAAGGACGGCAACAACAGAGGTCTTCGCAGCAAAAGCAGTACGAATATAGACCTCCAAGTTCACCAGGACATCTGTCGTGCTGCGGCACTTGCGGAAACCAAATTGAAAAGGGGAGAGGAGGTGATGGTGTTCCAGGAACCACATCAGACGAACGTTAACCATACGTTCAAAGAGTTTGCAGACACAACTCGTGAGAGCAATAGGGCGAAAGTCCTTAGGGAAAGTACCCAGAGACCCCGGTTTGCGAACAGGGAGGACAACGGCATCGAGCCAGTCCTCAGGGACTGACGACGACTCCCAGATCCGATTATACAGACTCAGTAAATACTGAGACGTGCTCGGAGGGAGATGGCGAAGCATCTCATAATGAATACCATCGGAGCCCGCCGCCGTAGAACCGCAGAGGGCCAGGGCAGAACGAAGTTCAGAGAGAGAGAAGGGATCATTATAGGGAAGCTGAAGATGAGTGCAGAAATCTAAAGGACGAGACTCAAGGACAGGTTTACGAAGAAGGAAAGATTGGGGAAGATGAAGACCAGAGCTAACAGAAGAAAAGTGGGAACCCAGTTGCATTTGCTAAGTGTGTGCATACAATACATGCATTCTAGTTTTTGTCTATGGAGTCCATGATTTTGTCACAGTGGTTGGTAAGCTGCAAAAGACAGGATCTTCCTGCTCTGAGTCTATGTTGCCCCCGAGTTTCAAAATTTTGTTTTTAAACTGGAGTTGGATTCTGATCATCCTCTCAAAACTTTAGTGTGTGACAGTGTGATTGGCTTATAGTTTTGTCATCATTTTGCTACTGCCCTTGTAAATTGGGGCTACAGTATGTTTACTATTTAAGTGCATCTTAAATAAATCTAAGCATTTTACCCATACAGTGGCACCTCAATTAACAAGTTTAATCCGTTCTGGCACCGAGCTCGTTACGTGGAAAACTCGTCTTAAGAAACAAATTTCCCCATTTAAAATAGAGGAAATAAATTTAATCCGTTCCACTCCCAAAAACATCCATACTTTTATGACATTTTATAATGTAAATATAATACTGCACATGTAATTATAAATGTTTTCTGGTACTGTTTTCATGTTTACTTTACCTTATGAAGAGTCGTTGCTGGCTTGAGGGAGACGATGGGGAGGTGGGAACGAGGAGAGCGGTTATGGTGTGGAAGGAGAATCCACCTCTGAGTCAAGCGGCCTCTCTCTTCTTGGGAATTTCACCCCACTGGGACCGGGTTGTGGTTCACTATCAATTGCTGGTCTTTAGTTTTGCAAAGAACGAGTCTATTGACAACTGCCTTTGTCTGTTTTAGGATGTCCCCTAAAACAAGACAGCAAATTGTCATTAAACATGTTCACACACCGGGTTGTCACTGCTTTATCAAGGTGATGCTTTTCCAAGAATGCAGTCACCTTTTCAAAAATTCCCAACACTTCCCTGATCTCACTGGAAGAGGCAGCATCCTCCCTTACCTCCTCATTCCCTTACTAATGGTGCAAATTGTTGATGAGGCCCTGCCATACTCCCTTGTGAGATCAGTCACACAGACACCACGCTTATGCTTTGCTATAATTTCCTTCTTCAAATCCAAAGTAATTGTCTCTTTCTTCCTCTTGACAACACTATCTTTAGCAAGCAGCTTCTTTGGCAACATCGTGCATTACAAATTGTAGTCACAAAACCACAAAAAAAACAAAGAAAAGCGCAAATAAATGCAGAGGAATGCTTATTGTGTGCAATACAACAACACTGGCGTTGGAGGCGTCCGAGAATATGCGAGAACCCGCGAGATGCTAGGAAGCACCATGTGGTTTTGCTCGTCAATAGACAAATTTGCTTTGAGTGGCTTGCTCGTTACTCGAAATGCTCGTAGATAGAGGCGCTCGTTAATCAAGGTGCCACTGTATTACACTTAGTTCCATGCTAGTTATATTTAACATTTATTTATAATTACAGTATATAGCTCCAGCAATCAGGCCCAGGACCCAAGGACATGGTCATCTTAATTTATTTTTCTATATCTGCTTGGTTTGTGTTGTTATAATGGATGAAAGGTAAGAACTCTTCCCTTTCATCTTGCTCTTTTTTTTCTTACCTGCTTCTCACCTCTTGCTTCACTTCATTATTTGCCTGTACCTTCCTCTCTCCTCTCACATGTCCAACCACTTGGGCTGGATGGTAGAGCAACGCTCTTGCTTCGTGCAGGTCGGCGTTTACCATTCCTTCCCCCTCTGTCCCATCCCAAATCCTTATATCCTGACCCCTTCCAGTGCTATACAGTAGAGCCGTAATGGCTTGGCACTATCCCCCAATAGTTCTTCTCTCACACGACTTGATAGTGGTCCAGGACAGACTGAAATGTCGTTTCTCCATTTTCTGATGTGGTTTGGTCATCATATCTTCAGCCATGTTATTGCGACTCTTCAACCTTTAATGTTGCCTATTAAGTTGAACAGTTTTTCAATATTTTATTCAGAATTGTCCTGATTTATGTCATGTGTAAAAATGTTTTTTATTTGGATTGTGCACATGGAAATGAAGCATTTTCAACCTTTTACGACATCAAAATTAATATATGTTACCACATCCTTCAAATTCTTTAGACAATATGCAGCCATCTTGAGGTTATCTTGAGATGATTTCGGGGCTTTTTTAGTGTCCCCGCGGCCCGGTCCTCGACCAGGCCTCCACCCCCAGGAAGCTGCCCATGACAGCTGACTAACTCCCAGGTACCTATTTACTGCTTGGTAACAGGGGCATTCAGGGTGAAAGAAACTTTGCCCATTTGTTTCTGCCTCGTGCGGGAATCGAACCCGCGCCACAGAATTACGAGTCCTGCGCGCTATCCACCAGGCTACGAGGCCAAGCCATGATGCTGGTCATTGCAATTTCTCAACATTTTCTACTGATCTCTACTGATAACCATGTAGGTTTTATTGTCTACAGAATTCTAAAGTACTGTACAGTACTTGCTATACTTTAATAAATCAGTGGACATAATACAAAGAAAAAAAAAGTTTTATTAGTCATTATAATAAACCAATGCATTTACTCTTACAGGAACAGAAGCAGCTGATGCAGCAGGAATGGGACGTGACTGCTTTTCGAGGAACCGCTGAGTCTTCACCACATCTTTGAGGCCTGGGAACAAGTTGTCATACTGTGCTGGATCTGCCAAACTCTGCCCAATCTTCTCCCCAGCTGCTGCTTTCCACAAGCCCACAACACGAGACATTTCACTTGGTAAATAGGTTCTGCCAAAGATAAATTTATATAATACTTTTGTTCCTAATAATATATTCTTAATAAAGATCCATATAAACTACACACACCTCTCCTATCCTTTCCAATTTCAGAATTGCTTTTAAATACATGGATGTTGAAATACTAAAGAAATTTATCATGACCTTTGAGACCAAAACTGGAATATGCAGCAGTTGTATAATGCCTAAATCTAAAGCAACACCACAAACTGGAAAAGGTGCAAAGACATGCCACTAAGTGGCTCCCAGAACTGAAAGACAAGAGCTATAAGGAGAAGTTAGAGGCATTACATATGCCAAAACTACAAGATGGAAGAAGAGGCAAAATGATTACTATGACCAAAATAGTAATGTGGCTCGACAGAACTGATAAGGTAAAATTCCTGAAACTTAGTACTTCAAGAACAAGAGGTTAGAGATTTAAACTAAACAAAACTGCAGAAGAAATAAGAAAATTCACTTTTGCAAACAGCGGTAGATGGTTGGAACAAGTTAAGTGTGAAAGTGGTGGAGGCCAAAACCGTCAGTAATTTCAAAGTGATTTTAACAGTGCTGGGAAGACCGGACACCATGAGTGTAGCTCTCATCCTGTAACTACACTTGGGTAATTACAGTAAAATGAATGCATGTATTATACCAGCACGGGAATAAACCGTCACATTCCTTTTCATTTCATGTGTGTGGGTAGGATAAATTTATTTTCAGTCATGTTATTGTGACACTATCTGCATAAACTATGTATTTTAATCAATATACAGCATATTTATTTATAATCTATATTTATAATATATAATCAGCATAAACTATGTATTTTAATCAATATACAGCATATTTATTTATAATCTATATTTATAATATATAATCATTATTTATAATCTATCAAGAGAATCACCAGATCTACAAACAGGTCATGCATCATTACCCTGTTCCCACTGGTGTGGGGTGGGGTGGCATCAGTCCCAAGAAAAAAAGTAGAGTACTGCAATTTACTTCAAGATGCTTATAGCATTTAAATATCTTACATTCATTATATAATTGACAAATACAACATATAGCATCACGGAAAACCTAGTACAGTGGAACCTCGAATAACGAATTTAATCCGTTCCGGTACCGTGGTCGTCATGTGAATCATCAATATGACATTCCATGTTTTAAATAATGGAGCAGCCTACCTTATATACACTAAACAAACCTTTATGACTTTCTTTCTTCAAATTTGTTTTTTTTTTTTTATTATTTTTTTTTTTTTATAGCAAAGAGTTCGTTCGGTGTTTGTCAGGTAGGCTGCTCCATTATGACAATCTTTGTACTTCAAATGTGTTCCATTTGTTTTGTATTTTTCATTCCTTTCTCAATACTGGAGCAGCCTACCCGACAAACACTGAACGAACCTATATGACATTTGTCCGTTTTTCAAATTGTTACAACTGTTTTTTTTTAAAGAAACGTGGAGCAGCCTACCTGACAAACACCGAATGAACCTTTTTGACATTGTTTTTTTTTTTAATTTAATTATTTTTCTACAAAAAAGTCAATGCTTTGAAACATCCCAGCATCTTTATTCAAAGAAAAGTAATTTATTTGCATCGTTGGAGGCTTCCGAGAATGTGCGCGACCTCACCATGTGGTAACGTTATTCAAACGAGCGCTCGCCTAACGAGACAAATTGTCGGCGATCAGGGCACTCGTTACCCAAATTGCTCACCATTTGAAGCGGCCGTCACTAGAGGTTCTACTGTACAGTATTGTACTAACATGCTTTTTTATGGGGGTTTAGGCATAAGGCCTTGTACTGGAATTTTCAGAATTTGTGACATCACTTTCTATATGGATCACCTATAATCACTTGATAATTATCTGTACAAACTACAATTGTTTAATAGTCATTATCTAATCTACATAACCACTAATTATCTATACATAAATTACCAATTATACTGTATAACTATAATAGCTTGAGGTGTTGTTAGCAAAAGCAATACGAGTGAAATACAAGTACAGATTTGATGCGAGAAAATATCTATTCACTCCCCCACAGCACATGGCTTCACACAGCCTCTCCATTATCACACCATTTACAACCTTCCCCCAACACTTAACAATTAGGGGTAGAGCACTTCTGATTAATAATTTTAACATGTTAAACATTTACTCAAACTGGTTCCACCTAACAACATTCCAACCACTTATTGTGCACTGGATTGTGCAGGAAGTTCCTGACGGTAGGAAAAATGGGTCATAGTTCGAGAGGATAAGTCAGGTAGGAGTGTTAGGTCGTGTTCCACAGGGATCTGTCTTTGGACCATCACTTTTTAATTTATCTAAATGACCTCCATGAGGTAGTGAGCTCATACATACCAATGATTGTAGATGCTGCAAAGTTAATGAGGAGAGTAATAACTGAAGATGATATCATCCACTTCAGTTATTACATCTTGTTGGATGCTGCAAGAAGACCTTGAAAAACTTCTGGAGGGGGAAGATAAATGACTCCTTGAATTCAGTCCAAGAAAGTGCAAAGTAATGAAAATAGCAAAGGAAGAAGGCAACCTATACATAATGGAAAGCAAATACCAGTACTGTACAAGGAACCATAAGAGAAAATGACCTGGGAATAGACAATCTCAATACTAACACCAGAAGCTCTTGTGAACAGGATAATATCAATATCATATGGAAAATTAGTAAACATGAGAACATCTTAAGAATCTAAACAAGGAGGCTCTCCCAAGCCCGTACACATTGGCTATGCGAGATGATTACTCGAGTATGCAGCACAAGCATGGAACCCATTCCTTATGAAGAATAATAAGAAGCTTGAGAATGTTCAATGGTTTGTAACTTATTAGTACCAGAATTGAGAGGGCTCAGCTACAAGGATATGTTGAAGGAACTCACCCTTACAACCTTAGAGAGAAAAGGGAAGATATTGTCACTACGTATAAGATACTAAGGGGAAATAAAGTGGGTACAGCTTGTTTAATTTAAAAGGCAGTAGGACAAGAAGAAATCAATGGAAGCTGAACATACAACTGAGTCAGATGTAAGGATCTTATTCCCTGTATGAGTGATCAGCAAGTGGAATGCATTGAACAGGTTGTTGAAGCCTAATCCATAACAAAGAAATACATGAAAATATTGATTTTGAAAGAATTAGCACATCAAGTATAAATGGCTAAGTAGAGCAGCATAATATGCTAAGTTCTCACTCGACCACGGTTAGTGATTGGAAGCAATAACAGGTACGCACTATTCACTTAATTCTTTATCTTCCTCACTCCCTTTGTAATAACCACTAATCTCATATCTTCCTCTCCTGCAATTTAAATCACTAATATGCATCTACTCAATATAACCAAACCATTTATACACACTTACCTGAATATTAAGTTCTACATTTGCACCCATCTTGGCATAATATTTTCTTTCCTTATGCATCTTCTTAACACTATAAATGCATCTCGGGTAGTCTACTGTTGCAACTCATCCTCCAAATTAACAGTACAGTTTAATACTAAGTGTAATAAGTACATTTTCTTACAGTCATACATAGTACATAATTGCACTTATGGGGCTGTTACATTTACCTCCCCATCTATTCTCCTCGTTTTCTGTTAAGACACTCAGAATTTTAGGATAAAGTTTTCAAGTTCAATTCACTATACACAATTTTTAAATATCAGGAATTTCTTTTTCAGTTTTATTAAATAGAGATTTTATACAAAATCTGAAAATATCCTGAGTTACTTTACAATTTTTTTATATATTTTAGTTTTGATTTATTAGTTTTATAAAACTGAAATATCAATATAGCTATAGGTTAAGTACTAATTGTAATTAAAAAGCAGTAAAATGCTTATCTTCAAACACTAAGGTTAGGTTATGTTGTGGTTTTCTATTCAGCTTTTCAGGTAAACTCAAATATTCACAATATATTTGACAGTACGGTTTAATACTAAGTGAAAATAAGTACAATTCCTTACTTATATGAATAGTACATAATTGCACTTGTGCTGTTACATTTACCTCCCCATTTTAGGAGGACGGGCCGACTCATAATGGTCTAACTATTATATTTTAAGAATGGAACAATGAGTGGGTTAAGAGTGAGCCAACAGGAGATGAGTCACAATAACGTGGCTGAAGTATGTTGACCAGACCACACACTAGAATTTGAAGGGACGACGACGTTTCGGTCCGTCCTGGACCATTCTCAAGTCGATTGTGACTTGAGAATGATGTGACACAATCGACTTGAGAATGGTCCAGGACGGACCGAAACGTCGTCGTCCCTTCAAATTCTAGTGTGTGGTCTGGTCAACAGTGAGCCAACATTTTGAAACGACCGTTTGCCAAGAACTAAAAATATCTTAATACTTCACAATTGTAACACAAGCACCAAAAATTAAATAGTGTACAAGTTAAATCCACTAACCTTGCAAAAAATGCTGCCTCAGGAACTCTGTTGGTCTTTATGAGTAACTCTAGACATTCCTTAAGATTTCCAGTGAGAAAGTGAGAAAGGAATGCCACATTGTTTCGGCCCTGGCCCTCAGCTTCTTTGCCCACTTCTCGAATTAATGTTGCATTACCTTGAATAAAGAAAAATCATAGAGAGAACCGATAAAGATTTACCAATGTAAAGTATCATGGCTGGCATTGCTAAATTACAATACAATGACCATATTGTATTGTACTTGGTGCATAAATTTATGTACGATTTTATGGAGATACAGATAGCCCAAAAAACGAACAATTAGCTTTATGGCCTAATAAACTTGCGACTACAGTACATAACTACATATATGCCTTTAACTAAAACAGCATCGAATATAATGAAATGCATCTTTCTGAGTAGGCCTCAGTGGCTCTCTGTAGCTAATCACAGTCACATCAGCCCTGGTGAGTCCTTAAAAGCCTACTAGAGACCAAGGCCAAAACCTGGCCCCTCTCACAGAGGTGCACGGAGCAGGGGATTCATGGTCACCCTCAAAAAAACAAAGCCCCAGGAAGATGATGAAGCAAAACAACTTCAAGGTTCACACAGTAAACAATCAATGTAGCAAATAACTCTGCAAATGATCCTCCCAGTAGTTAGGTCATAACCCCCCCTTTCCCTCCTTCCCAGTTATAGCTGGCCATCACTGGGTGGCAGCAACACGGTAGCCATTTTCCCCCCATCAACAACCATCAGTACATTACCTAAGAAAGGTAAACCCTACCCATGGCAGCACCTGGTTGATGAGGCCCAGACACATTATTAACAAGTGGCCAGGACCCTGTAAGATCTCTAAAACCCCCCAAGCCTGGATACCACCTTTAGACAACAGAAAATAGAGCAGGCAAAACTACAAACTTCTGATCATGGGCCCTGAGGGTAGACCACAGGCAAGCTAGATTTCAAGACGCTGTGGACGATCTGAAACAACGAAGCCTTGGGACATGTGCACCCCTCCCCCAGCTGAACATGTGGGAAATTTTTACCCACCATATCTAATAATCATCTAAGAAATGTATAATTTCTATATCATATCTAAATCATATCAAAATCATATCTAAATCGTATCAAAAATCATATTTGAATTATTAAAGATTTATTATAGCTTGATCCTGGATGACAATGGCACCATGAACACGTACGCAACAGGGGCCCTTTTGATGCCTACGTGACTTTGTACATGATCTTTCAAGGATCCAGAAGCTTCTAGAAGGACTTCTTAATTAAAAAACTATTGGAACATTGATTCAACATCCGGTAGGATTAAAAATCGAATCCTTAATAAGATTCAGTGGTACTTTCAAATACTACTTATAATCTTTAAATCTTATATCTAATTATATTATAATCACATCTTATCTTAATCATAAGTCTAGACTGTAAAAATAATCAATCAATATTCATTGAAGGCTACCGTGCTCAGAGAGCATGGCAGGGCGATGGGGGGGAGTGAAGCGCCCACCAACAAGCCCAGCGGCACTCCGCGTTTGTTGACAAATGAGTGAACAAGTGACTGATCCTTAGCGAACATTACCAGCTCAAGGACACCTTATCTAATATTTTTATCGCCAGTGAATACTCTCTAGAACTGGGGGAGTACCTGGACAATATCTACAAGGAAAATCATAGAACATTCATAAAATAAGAGTGTATAGTGGAGATCACGGTGACACGGTTTCCTCCACCTTCATTCTTTATCTTTATCATATCATTCTTCTGCAACGCAGTTAAAGAAAAATCACGTAGCAACGCTACCAGATCATCATACAGCAACGCTGTAGCAAAATATCGTGCCTAAACTCGACAAGAGAGTTAATCAGTCTGGCAAACTTGTCAGACAGGCACCCCGACTGGCAGAGAAGTATATTGAAGGTTATTTGGTGTATGATTGGCCAATTGTATGCTTGTGAAACTTTAATATCCTATAAATCTGTCTGTTGGTTAAAAAGAGAGGCAAAGCCTCATTCACGGTACGTTTATTAAAATTGTAGTGTAGCTGTGAATCTTATCCAAGCACTGAACCTCATGAGTGTCCATTCTGTTAGAAAAGAATTCAGCCTCAATAAGTAAAAACCTCATAAGTGTCCATATTGTTGGAAAAGATTCAGCCAAGCTAACTGTATCATATAAATTGAATATGTCTGCATATATATTTGAATATATAAATTAAGTTATCAATTGCTTGCTTAGTTATTTTTAAGTTATCATATAAGTTCATTTAATTGAATATAATATCTAGTACTTAGTTAAGTATTTAGACTACATTTAAGGTCATTTATTTATACTTTTACAATTTAATTTGTTGTTTATAGTATAAGAATCTATTGGCTGTTAAGTTATGGTGCTAGGTTAGACTATGTATGTTTAAATCCCTGATTTAAACAGAGCCAGTGTTCAGTCTGATAACTGAATTTATCAAATCTTATTCTTGTATAAAATACAAGCTGATGTGAGATCCCTGTCTACAGGTGGATTGGAACTTCTATCAACAAGTCATTCACCCCACCTGTCCCTTACAGCCCACAGTCTGTCATTAGGAAAAGAGGAATTAGGATTTACAACCCTAGCTAGAGATTTTAGTTGAATTAATTTGCAGACAGTAATTATTTAATTTAGTTCAGTACAAGTCCCTGGTAGTCTCCTCTTATATCAATCCCAACAGGTTTTTCCCACATTAATGGTCCTTCGAACCTAGATAATAATGGTCTTTTGTACCTAGATATTTATGATCATTCATTTACCGAATATTTCAGTGCCAAATACATAAGAAACTTCTTGATTTTGCATTGGAATAATTCTTACATATTCTAGCCTAACCTAGCTATCAGCCAATATTTATCATAGCTATATATCTAAGTAAACATATTGTTTGCAGTGGCTTAAGCCACCATATCCATTAACTAGTAAGCATTCATAACAAACTGATACTGTTTTGTGTTAAGAAACCACAGTACTAAGTATATCAGTGTGACAGACACTGCACTGCATCTTAATCATAAATTACCAATTATCTACCTCATTGTGGTAACATTACATATATATTTAAGTGTATTATCTAGCATTATCTCTAATCTACTGATTTTCAGAGCTGCTCATTACATAATATTCTTTAAAAAAGTGTTATCATCACTGTAAGAGCATTCATTACAATCTAACCAAAATCAACTGTATCAAACCCTATTCCAGGTAAAACCAGTAGACATTCTACTGTATTTTATCTAACAATTATTATGGTAACAGATTTGTAATAACTTTGCAAAAATAGTGCCATTTACTATTTTTAAAAAATTATTACAAGATTTACCAACTTGGTGCATTCGTGCATTCGGGTCACAAATTAAATTATTACAGTACTTTTGATAATGAACACCTGCTACAACCAGATTCCAGGGAGGAAATGAAGGACGATCTTTGGAATCATTACCTAAGTAGACAGGAAAGCTCATTTATCAAAATACATTAACATCATACATATTTATCAGAAAAAAGAGAAAAATCTCGGAATCTCCAAAACTCGGAAAAGGTCAAAATGGCTGACAGTGTTCCACCAGCAGCTGAAACAGGAAATAGGAGGACACTTAATGGTCTGCAAAATCACCTAACTCAACTGATTGACAAATGTCAAAAGTTGGCTAGGCAACCATCTCCTGATTTAATAATTCTGAATACCAGAGTAAAAGCAGCTGTGGATAAGTATGAACAAATCAAACGCCATGCAGAGATTTATCTAACAGAAATGGCTAATGCAGATTTAACCCGAAGGGAACTTCAGGAAATTGTCGCTGAAATGACAATGTATGAAGATAAAATCCAAGATCAACTTGATCCTTTAATCAAACAAATATCTCAAGCAGGAACCCAATCCAATGTGAGCTCATCCACTCAACAGAGCAATGCAACTATCACACATATAGCCGCAGAGCTCCCAAAGGTACAATTACCATATTTTGAGGGCAAGGATGAAGACGATTGGGATACCTTCTGGAGACACTTTGATTCTATAATAAACTCCAAGCCCTCTCTCAAAAAGGCGACAAAGTTTCAATATTTGCAAGGCCAGTTACGGGGAGAGGCAAGGCAGGTCATTGCTAATTTGTCATTAACAGATGATGATTACGACCATGCCTTACAGTTGTTACAAGATAACTACAGTGATAAGGAGACTGCAATTGCACGTCTCTCATACAAATTATTGGATTTACCCTCTCCAAATAAAAGTTATGAGTCACTACAATCATTTCGATTGTCTATAGAATCAATCATCAAAGCCCTCAGTACAAAAGTACCTGTAGGTGATGCAGAGTGGCTTATAAAGTTAATCATTCAAAGGAAACTTCCAAATGAGGTCATAGACAGCCTATGCACTCATTATAACACCAACATCTTATCACAAAGCCAAATCATTGATGGACTTCGAGCTTACGTACAAAGATTACGAAGCCGAGGAAAACTTAGATCTCAAGAAAAAATCCCCAAAGGTGAATCCACGGACAAAAGCAAAAATGTCCAGAATGGCAGTCAAAAATCAAGACAACAAAACTCCTCTTCTGCAAAGTGGAAACAGAATAATGTTGGCTCTTATGCTATATCCCCCACAGTTAACAGAACTGTAGGAAACCAAGCTCCTAAGACAGATAAGACAAAAGGAGCTACAAGTGCCCCAAAATGTTTATTCTGTCAAGAAGCACATACCATTTATCAATGCACAGTTTATGAAGGCCGTGCCAGTCGAATCGATCGACTGAAATCTCTGAACAGGTGCATCCGTTGTCTACGGAAGCACGATACTAGTGAGTGTATCACTCAATTGCAGAACTGCCAATATTGTCATAAAAGTGTACATCACACAGCACTCTGTGGTGATATTAACACTCAATCCAGATCACAGACTTCCAATAATCAACCTGCATCTCAGGCAAAGCCCAAAGATGATAATACCACAACAGCCGTACAATTCTGTACAGTAATGAGCAATGTCAACGACTTGGATACAGAAATTGTTACAGCAGCCATATTGCCTACTGCACAGCTAGAACTATGCAATCAAGGAATTTGTATTCCAACTAGAGGCTTTTTTGATCAAGGGTCACAGAA